CAGACTGAGCAGGAATCAAGTGGCTGATCAGAGGGGGATTGCAAGGGTCTCTTTGCCAGAGCTGAGGCAGGAATCTCTTGCTTTGCCCATGCTTGGATCTGGGTGACAGTTCTGAGGGGCGGTCCTGGGGCAAAAAGGAGTGCTGGCATGGTGGAGCTTGATGTGGAGGTGGAGAGGGAACACCTTGCCCCTTATCATAGCACCTTGAAATAACTGAAAATTTTCAGGTCCCTAGAAGTATCTCTGAAAACAGCTGTACAAACCCCCAAAGCTTGGGACAGTACATTCTCCACATTGGAAACAGACTTTTACCTTAACAAAGATTTAAAACTCAAGTAATTGGTTGGGATCATGAGTAAGCAGCGCAAAAAGAGTCAGATTATATTATCTTACTTTGGTGACAAAGAAGATCAAAACATACAACTAGAAGACAATGAAGCCAAAGATCCTACATCCAAAGCCTCCAAGAAGAATGTGAATCAGTCCCAGGTCTTGGAAGAGCTCAGAAGGGATTTTGAGAAGCAAGTAAGAGAAGTAAAGGAAAAACTGGGAAGAGAAATGAGAGTGATGCAAGAAAATCATGAAAATCAAGTTAACAGCTTGCTAAAGGAGACCCAAAAAAATACTGAAGAAAATAACCCCTTAAAAAATAGCCTAACCCAAATGGCAAAAGACATCCAAAAAGCCAATGGGGAGAAGAATGCCCTAAAAAACAAAATTGGCCAAATGGAAAAGGAAGTCCAAAAGATTACTGAAGAAAATACTTCCTTAAAAATTAGAATAGAACAATTGGAAGCTAGTGACTTTATGAGAAATCAAGACACTGTAAAACAAATCCAAAAGAATGAAAAATTAGAAAACAATGTGAAATATCTCATTGGAAAAACAACTGACCTGGGAAATAGATTCAGGAGAGAGAACTTAAAAATTGTTGGACTGTCTGAAAGCCATGATCAAAAAAAGAGCCTAGACATCATCTTTCAAGAAATGATCAAGGAAAACTACCCTGGTATTTTAGAACCAGAGGGCATAATAGAAACTTAAAGAATCCACCAATCTCCTCCTGAAAGAGATCCCCAGAGGAAAACTCCTAGGAATATTGTAGCCAAATTCCAGAGTTCCCAGTTCAAGGAGAAAATATTACAAGCAGCCAGAAAGAAACAATTCAAGTATTGTGGAAACACAATCAGGATAACACAAGATTTAGCAGCTTCTACATTAAGGGACCACAGGGCGTGGAATATAATATTCCAGAGGGCAAAGGAGATAGGACTACAACCAAGAATCACCTACCCAGCAAAACTGAATATAATCCTTCAGGGGAAAAAATGGTCTTTCAGTGAAATAGAGGACTTTCAAGCATTCTTGATGAAAAGACCAGAGCTGAATAGAAAATTTGACTTTCAAATAGAAGACTTAAGTGGAACATGAAGAGGTAAATAGGAAAGAGAAATCATAAGAGACTTATTAAGGTTGAACTGTTTACATTCCTGCATGGAAAGATGATATTTGTAACTCATGAGACCTTTGTCAGTATTAGGGTAGTTGGAGGGAAAAAATTATATGTATATACATATATAGATAGGTAGATAGATAGATAGATAGATAGATAGATAGAGGGCACAGGGTGAATTGAAGATGAAGGGGTAATATCTGGAGAATAAAATTAAGGGGTGAGAGAGGATTATACTGGGAGAAGGAGAAAGGGAAAGGTAGAATGGGGTAAATTGTCTCACAAAAAAACAGAAGAGAAAAGGTTCTTACAGTGGAAGGGAAACTGGGGAAGGTGAGAGGGAATGAGTGAATCTTATTCTCATAGAATTTGACTTAAGGAGGGAATAACATACACACTCAATTGGGTATGGAAATCTGTCTTCCCCTACAGGAAAATAGGAGGGGAAGGGGACAAGAGAGTGGGGGGATGATAGAGAGGAGGGCAGATTGGGAAAGGGGGTAATCAGAAGCAAATACTTCTCAGGAGGGACAGGGTCAAAAGAAAGAATAGAATAAATGGGAAGGTGGGATAGGATTAAGGGAAATAGAGTTAGTTTTTCACAGCATGTCTACTAGGGAAGTGTTTTGTATAACTGCACATGTATAGCCTATATTGAGTTGCTTGCCTTTTCAATGAGGGCGGGTGGGGAGGGAGGAAGGGAGAAAATTTGGAACCCAAAGTTTTAAAAATACATGTTTAAAAAAATGTTTTTACATGCAACTGGGAAATAAGAAATACAGGAAATGGGGTACAGAAATCTATCCTGCCCTATAGGAAAATAGAAGGGGAAGGTGGGGAGAGATAGCAGGGAAAGTAGACTAGGGGAAGGGGTATTCAGAAAGTATGTCATCTTGGGGTGGGGGGAGGGGTGAGATGGGGTGAAAATTTGGAACTCAAAATCTTGTGGAAGTAAATGTTGAAAACTAAAAATAAATAAATTTATTAATAAAAAAAGAAAACACACAGGATGATCAAGCAATCCAATTACAGTGAATTATGGTTGTCAAAATATCCAAAACGACAAGTTCATGGACCCCCCAGGTTAAGACCTTTTGGACTAGACTCTTTCCAAGATCCTTCCCCATCTTCAAATCTATAATACAGATTATCTACATTTTGAACAAATACAAGTTCCCCTCAGATGTACACACACCTATGTTTCCTCAGCTTATGTACTACTGGGTTCTCTTAAGAATGATTTAGAAAATGATGGTAAAGCCAGTAGAATTTCTGAAGGAAATATTTACCATGGTCAAGAAGGTAGGGTTAGAAGGCCCCTTGGAGGCTACCTTGTTCAACTCCCTCACCTTAATAATAAGGAAACTGAGGCCCAAGCAAATTAAATGACTTACCCAAGGTCACATGAGCATAAATGACAAAGGTCAGACTTGAGCCCAGGTCTTCTGAACCCACATTCAGCACTCTGGTCATTGTATCACAAAGGTTTGGCACTAGATTTATGATTTAATTAGTATATGTGACTCTTAGGTGAGAAAATCCTCTCCATCAATACCAGCTGGCACCTTCTAGTCTTAAGGAGCTGCCTAGATTACTAAGCAGTTAAGTGACTTGCTCAGGGTCACACTGCCAGTGGGCATCAGAAATATGACTGGAACTCAGGTCCTCCTGCTTTTTCCACTAGCTCTCTACCTCTTAGTTGATGCTGCCTCTCTAGTCTGCCACAAGTTAGGCAGGAACACAAGAAACAAACACAGGAAAGCAACTGGTCATGAGAAAAGTGGTCACCTCAACGCTAGAAAGGCCTAGTTTTCTTCGACCCAAACACCATCATCCTTTCACAGTGATGGTTAGAAGAGTCTCTCAAAGGCTCCCAAATGCAGCATCAATAATTTAATTTTTTTTCTTTAAAAAAGAAATCAAACTACTCCTGTTTGAAAACTGGCCCACTGAATAATTTGGGCGGCAAAATCTTTTGCTAAAGTTCACAGATTTTTTTTTCCCTTGAAAGGAAGGATTAGAGATTATTTTGAAAGAGCATCTTTTTCACACAGCGTGAATGGACTCCAGGAGTTCCCATGGGAATCGGCCGCATACATTTCAAGCCTCCCACAAGATGCCTATTGTTCCCTGTATGCCTCTCAGTTTCTCCTGTCATGGCATGTTTCTACCCTGAACTTCTACTGAAAGCCTTTGGATATTGAGCTATTTCAATTGAACTGAAAGGGCCAGGCTGTTGGCCCCTCTTTTTTTTTTTTTAAACTCAAACAGTTTCTATTTTTACAGACTAATTTTCACAATCACCTACAAATTAGTAATTACATTTTAATTATTCTGGCTGATCTTCCCCTCCCTTAACCATATTCACATCACAAACTTTACTGAAATACAGACAAATGGAAAACATTTTTCCTCGAAGAGAATTAAGAGTCTATGAAATTGTACTTTTGTGGCCAGTAAATATTGAAAAACCAAGAATGAATAGATTCTGCTTTCCCCATACAGACCAGGTATACATTTTCACTGGCCACTATTGATTTTGCCATTCAAATTGTCCTTGGAAGGAGAAAAAAAGAAACCTTGCTTAAAAAAAAAATCTGACTTAAAATACTGTTGCTTTCATTTCTGTAGCAATGATGCTGACTTTTTATTTTTTTTTTTGCCAGTGTAAAGGAAATTCCAAGTTAAATAGTCCTTTATTTATATGCACATTTCAGTAAATTCAAAAGTTCTGCAAGCCACCTTAAATGGGGGATTCTTGAGGCAAGACGAAATTGTGTAATGTAAGGGATCTTGGTTGATCACGGGAGCCGTTTAAGTACATAAGCCAAATAACAAAAAAAGGGGGGGGGTGTCTGAACAGTAATTTAGAAAACTCCCACTAAAAGAGAGTGAAGATTGCAATTTCTAAATAAGTCATTGTGGTCTCTAGTGCCCCAAAGGACTACAGAGATGCCCTTTAATTTTTCTTCCAGAACTCTGGAGCAAGGTCAAGTCCTCTAGTTCACAAAGTTTCTTGGAGAAACCAAGGGATTGTTGAAATTTTTTTCTTTTGGTAGGGGGGTGGGGTAGGGGGAGAACCAAAGGAAAATGCACATGCTGTCTCTCCAAGGAGAGCTTATTAATTCTGAAGCAGGGAAGCAAGTCTACCACAACCTGGCCACAATACAAAAGTCTTTCTCTTACAGTCATAATTTAAATGCATGCATCAGAGGCTCCCCACAATGCCCAAGCAAAGCTATTTGTATAATCTGCCAACTAGCTAAGACTTAAGGTTGCCTCAACCCCTCACCCCCCACCCCCAATCCCTTCATTATTTCCTTTTGGAAGACTAATGGACAGGAACACCGCCGGTCAGTCGTACCTCTCAGGGCAGGAATCTCTGGCCATCAGAAATAATGAAAAGTACAATGCTTGGTCTTTAGAGAAATTCTACTCCAGCTCAATCCAGGGGGCAAAGAGTTTGGCCCCTGCCTCTGGTATGTGAAGGCAGCTGACTTGCTTTGGCGCCTGTCAAATCACCCAGCTGTACAATGGGTTCACTCACCGTGGACTTGTCATGTAGAATGAAGCAGACGAATATCTCCACTCCACATTCCCCACCTTCTGATCAGAATGATTGCTGGGGCCAAGCTTCTCCTCCCGGGACACTCCAGTGGAAAGTTCTCTGAGTAGATCCCTGGGATGAATGGGTCAAATTTATCCAACAACCCGTGGTTTAAGCCCTGTTAATGAATAACCTACTTTAAGAAATCAAGGAAGTTTTAAGTTAATATCAGATTGGGGACTCTTATCAGAAATCAGTGAAAGGGCTAAGCTGTTTTTGTGGTGAGGGGGAGAGAGAGGCAGGAGAGGACAGGGGGAGAATAGGAGAGCAGGGGGCAGCACATAAAGCCAAAAGGAGAAGAGGAAGGAGGCTGTGAAAGGAAAGAAGAAAAATGGCCAGTTTTTGATCGTAAGAATAGCAAAAGCTAGGATGCCCAGAGCAGGGACGCTGAATGAAGCACCCATAAGAATTTGAAATTCACAGCTGTATTTTCTCCCTGGGACAAATCAGTCCCAAAGACAGGGGAGTAGAATGTAAGTAGAAACACTATATTTCTGTCATTTGCATGGAGGTACTCATTTCCCAAGTCCACAATCTTCTTCACATTACTATCCAATCCCCTCTCTCATTTCTCCAGCCTCCCTGAGACATAGATCAGTTTTCCTAAGACTAGAATACCTCTACTACTGGCAATGACAAAACATATCAGGATTTAATAGTACTTTCCTCACAACAACCCTTTGATATGTGAGTGCTACTATCCCTATTTTACAGATGAGAAAACTGAGTCTCAGCGAGGAACTAGCTTCATTCACAGGCAATATGACGAAGAGGCTGGTGCTGCACGTACCTTGTTAAATCTGGAATCCCAGGTAGATTAGATGATGAGATCACAGATTCAGAGCTCAATGGAATCTTAGAGATGATCTAGCTCAGGAATTCTTGACCTTTTCTTGTGTCCTGGACCCCTCTGGCAAGGCATTCTGGTAGAGATCTTTATGACCTACCCCTCCCACTTTTCCAGTTTTCTTACACCTTATTCCCCAACACATTCTTTTCATCCAGTGACACTGGAATCCTGACTGTTCCACAAATAAGATGCTCCATCTTTCAGCTCTGGCCATTTTTTTCTGGCCACCCCCAGATCTGGACCGAATTCCCTCCTCTGCTCTGACTGCTGAACTCTCTGGCTTCCTTTATGTCACAATTAAAATTCCACTTTCTACAGGAAGCCTTCCCTAGCCCCTCTGAATTCCAATGCCTTCTCTCTTAATTATTTCCCATTAATCCTGTATATAGATTGCTTTGTATGCATTTGTATGCAGGTTGTCTCTCCCATTAGATTGTAAGCTCCTTGAGGGCAGAGACTATCTTTTGCCTCTTTTTGTATCCCTAGCACAGTGCCTGGCACATAGTAGGTGCTTAATAAATATTGATTGAAGACCTCTGCAGAATTGTGTTTCTAAATGCATAAAAATATGCAATTGCAATTAGACCAATTATATTGAAATACAGTTATCAAAATAATTTTTAAAAAGTTCACAGACTCCCAGAGTCTTTATTGAAGGAGGGTGCCCAAGCCAGGCATTTCTCCATTTCCCAAGTGATTGCACTCCTTTGGATTTATGCATCCTGCCCCCATGAAGGCTATTTTCCTCTTCCTCTGTTTTTTAGATTTGCTGTTAGATTGTAAGCTTCTTGAGTACAGGGGCTGTTTTTTATTTTATTTTTTTTTGTATTTGTACCCTAGTGCCTAGCACAGTGCCTGGCACATAGTAGGTGCTTAATAAGTGTGTGTTGATTGACTAACTGAAAACCACCCTTAGTTCTGTGTGATCAATCAAACAGACTTTTCCTAACCTTATGGTTAGCAAACCAGAACTAGTTGTTGCATGTCTACATGTGTTTCAAAGTCTCTACCAAATTTCCATCACACATCATTAAAACTTTTCTGGTAGCAGATTCCCCAGCCTTTCCAAAGAAGGCATATGCCAGGGCTGATATGAGGATGTGGTTTATGAAAGTTTGAGTGGAAAGAGATTACAATGAAACATTGAATTGGTTGACTTCAAGTCAAGATCGTGAAGGGAAGAAAGTGAAGCTGGGGGTTGGGGCGATAACATGAAAGAACACTGAGGTATGGAAAGAATGGATGTCATGTCATAAGTTCTTTAAATTGTTAAATTTCTTGTTTTTTTTTAAGTTACAAGTGATATTAAGTAATGGGTAAAGACACTATAATGTTTGTGTTGTTTTAATTTATTTCAATGAACAAAAATGTTTTCAACTCAGTTCCCACCCATGGTAGAAAAAAAAAAAGAAAAAGAAAATCCTGGTATTAAATATGCAGTCAAGCAACACAATTTCTGCATTGGCCACATCCAAATATATGTATGTATATATGTATATTTATATATAAATATGTATGTGTATCTATATATATTTCTCAGTGTGCACCCTGAGTCCGTCACCTCTGCCAGGAGGTGGGTACCGTGTTTCACCACGATTTCTCCAGAATCACTGTTGTTCATTAGGTTGATCAGATTTTGTAAGTCTCTCAAAGCTGTTTATCTTTAAAATGTTTTTGTTACTACAGAAATTGCTCTCCTGCTTCTGATTTTTTCACTCTGCATCCGTACATGTAACTCGTCCAGATTTCTCTGAAATTGCTTCTCACAGTTTCTTACAGCTCTGCAGTATTCCATTACATTCATAGACCATAATTGTTCAGCCATTCCCCCTTGATGATGTTCCCTTAGTTTGTTAGTTTTAGTACTTTGCTACTATTAGCAAAGCTACTATAACTACTAGAAAGAACCATTATAAGTATTTTTGTACATTTGGATCCTTTCCCTCTGTCTTTGATATCATTGTAGTGGATCAAAGGGTATACCTAGTTTAGAGTTGTGGGCCACAGTTCCAAGCTACTTTCTGCATTGGCAGGATCAATTCATGGTTCTACAAACAATGTATTAATGTGACTATTTTCCTACAGCACTTACACAGGGCTTTAAGGCTTTGAAAATGCTTTACAAATATTATATCATTTTATCCTCAAAAGATTCCTGGGAGGTAGGTGCTATTATTATCCTCATTTTATAGATGAGGAAAGTGAGGCAAACAGAGATTAAGTGATTTTCCAGGGTCACACAATTAATATATGTCTGGGGCCAGATTTGAACCTAGGTCTTCCTGACTTCAGGTCCAGCCCTTTATCTACAGTGCCACCTACTAAGTGCCTACAGTACCACTCAGCTCTTATTCCAGTAGCAGTGGTTTTTGGGTTTATCAAACACTAGATTGTTAAGTTCTTTTGCTTCTGTATAATGTGAATCTAATCTATTCCATGGATTAATTTTTCAATACTTAGCAATTACTACTTTGTAATATAATTAGAGATTTGATCCCCTACAATTAGAGATCTAGGCCCCTCTGCTTCCCATTTTTAAAAATTATATCCCTTGAGATTCTTGATCTTTTGTTTCTCCAGATTTTCTCTCACTTTTTCTAGCTCCATAAAGATATCCTTTGGTAATTTGTATGTTTTGGCATTGAATGAGTAAATTATTTTGGCAGGATTATCATTTTTATTAAATTAACTTGGCTTACCCATGAACAATTTATATTTGCCCAATTATTTAGGTCTGTCCTATTTGTGTAAAGGGTGTTTCATGAATGAATTCATGTGGTTCTCTATGTGTCTTAGTAGATAGAATATAAAATATTCTGCAGTTATTTTGAATGAAATTTCTCTTTCCATATCTTCTTGAAAGCTTTTTTTTTGGGGGGGAAGGAGGGTATTATGTAGAAATGCTAACAATTTGTATTGATTTATTTTATGTTTTTGCAATTTGGCTGTAGTTTTTTTTTAAATTAATTTTAGTACACTCTTTACAATTATCCAAACAAAACATTACGTCATCTGCAAAAAGAGAGAAAATTTTGTTTTCTCTTTGCCTGTACTTATTCCCACTTTTTTAATCTAATTATTATAGCTAGCATTTCAAATACTTATACTAATAATTGGTATGATTATGGACATCTTTCCTTTACCCCTGAACTTACTAGAAAGTCTTCTAGTTTATTCCCTTTATCCATATTTCTGGATTTTGGTTTTATAAATACTATCCAACATATTAAGGAAAGAAGAAGTCCACTGATATTCCTATATGACACTGCGATACCTGAGAACTCTTCTTCCTCTTGTATATTTGATTGGAACTTTCATACTCCCGTATATGGTTAATTATCCTGTTTCATAATGAATTTATTCAACCAAAAGTAATGACAGAAATCATTAAAAGAGGATTTTTAGAGTTAGAGCTTGTAAGGATTTTAGAAGTCACCTAGACTACTTGCTTGATCAATGGGAGACAAAAGGAGAAAAGTAACAAGATGTTTTTGCTGTTAAAGGAATTAAAAAATTAATAAATTTATGTACTAAAAGCAATAACAAAATAAGAAAAATTAAAAATTAAAAAAATTAATTTTATTTATTTTTTGTTACATTATGAGTTCCCTCACTCTCCACCTCACACTAAAGAAGGCCAGCATTTAACACATATTACAAACATTATACTATGCATACCTCTATTTACCAGTTCTTTCTCTGGAGGTGGATAGTATTTTCCTTCATAGGTCCTTTGTAGTTGTTTTATAATACTCAGAATAGCTTAGTTGTTCATTATTATTCTTTGAACAATATTGCTGTTACTTTATCCAGTGTTTTCTTGGTTCTGCTCATTTCACTTTTCATTATTTCATGCAAATATTTCATGTTTTTTTAATCAGCTTGCTCATCATCTTACAGTGCAGTAGTATTCCATGACAATTATATATCGGAACAGAAATTTTGAAGAAAAAAAATCAATTGAATTAAGACATGAAATTGTTATTTTAATGACCAATACAATTAATTAACCATTAAGAAATTGAAGCAAAAGAAAAGAAAGTCAAATCACTGAAAGGAGAAATTACAACAAGTGACAAAGGAAATAAACACTATTACATACATTACATATATTACATATGTATATGCATACAACATCTTCCAATAAAACTGAGAATATAAAATAAATATTTACAAAATTATAATACACACATATCTGTGTATGTATGTG